GTGGCGGTGTCCAATCTGATTTCAAGATTTTGAAAAGTTATACAGTGCCCAAAAGACACACACATCCTATTAATAAGCAACTATGAATATTTAAGAATAAACTTTATTCTTTCAATTTATGTGCATTATTTGGGCAAAAAAGTACTAAGTTGTAGTTACAGGAATACTTATTTTCTATAAAAATCTAACTACTCAAATGCTCTTTCAACTGGTTTTAACATCTTACCCGTTCTATCACTAATTAATGAGCTGATTAAAATGTCGGCATTTGCTCATTTTATATTTGCATTAGAGTCCCAATTTTACTTTTCTATAAATTTTATTTTGATATGCTGAAGCTGTCCGCCAGTGTCTCTAAAAAAAAAACTCTACTTTTTAAAAAACTAAACTTTAAAGATTTCACTAAATAATCATCAAGTACTATGGAAGGATGTTTGTTTGGAATACGTAAAGTATCAAAAAAGCCTCTATATATACTCTCGTATTCAAATAAAGGATATATCTATGTGTTCAAATACAACTAAACTGCCTTAAAATTCAATATGGTTTTCTGTATTTTACAATTTTTAATAAATATATTCAATCCTTTTGTAATCAGTAAAATACACAAAAGGCTTGGGATGATTTATGAACACATTCTTCAAAAAAGCAGTATTAATGAAAGCTTTAAAAACGGAATGAGTAAGATGGAATTAAATTCCCTCCAAGGAAACATTTTAGTATTATTCATTAAACAGAGGGCTAAGGACAAAAGAACAAATGGCCACATTTGTATAATTAGTAACTTTTAGTGCCAGACTATGCCAGTAAACTAAAAATATAGAGAACAATTTATTTTACCTTCAACCTCCCACTTATTGCTTTCTATTATTTTTCACTCCATGTCAAACATTCTCATCTAGATCACTGTTTTCACCTCAAGCTACAGAAGTGATAAATGTGTCTGAGGAAAAAATAGGGAAAACTACCCCGCTCCTTTTTTTTGGAACCCTTGTGAGGAATGGTAGGGAAGAAAAGCAAAGTAAAAAGCAAGTGCATAAGTAGGTTTCTAGATGTGTTAAATGATGCCAAATGAGAATATCCAAATGAGAAGAAACTTCTGGAAGTACTGATGGTTTATAGGGAGCTTCCTTCTTTCCTCATCCATACTCAGTGTGACTGCTGGATCCATCTCTGCCTGGGTTGCTTTTCACCTACACTACCTCCTTTTATTCCCCATAGTTGTCTCATGCTACTACTCCAGACAGTTGGTTTGACACTACTTAGAACTCTTTTATATGTAAAATATCAAAAATAGACTACCACGTTTGTAGTGAACCTTTATAGTCCAAAGGCCTCTTTATACATGCACCTGAGACCAAAATCAAACCTATGAAAATGCTGGCTGTAAAGGGGTGAATTTTATGGAAGTTCTATCATCTGCTTTTAATGCATGTTTTATATAAAATAACTTTAATGTTTATAAACGATACCAAATGATCTGAAAGAGGAAAAATAAAATGATAAACAATACTATTCCTGAATTACGATCATTTGATTTTGAAAAGTGGATCAGTTTCATTTATGATACAATAAATAGCATAAGCTTCCATGAGAACCTACGACAAAATTTACAGAACAGGCTTTAAATGACTGATTTGTGTAGTCATTCGTTCGATCGTTTACGTTATCTCATTTAATCCTCAAAACAACCTGTATAAAGAGGATGTCACTATTATTACCTTTATTATTATTCCTACTCAGAGTTTAGAAAGCAAAACACAGGATATAATGAGTGGACCATTTTGACTATGTACCCTAGAAGCATAATTAGAGTAGGGGTAATAATAAAAACCTAAATTTCTGTCATTTATTTCCAAAGGATCAGTCTACTGGATGGTAGACTCAGCCCCATTAGTAATACCTGTAGTAATGTACATGTGCATTTCCTTCTTGAAAAAGTCACACATACAAAAAGTTCTAATCCCTGAAGTTAAGAGTTACAATTCTTAATGCTTATATTGTGGGTCAGAGCACATGGCCCCTGCTCATCCACCTCACCCTACCTGGGCTCACCCCAGCCTTAGCTCCCCAACTTGACACCTTGGTAACTTCAGCTGTTCCTGAAACTGACTTGTTCAAAGGAATTACCGCATTTGCCCTTAAAGAAATCAGATATACAATGTTCCAGCATCCCAACTAAAGGCGTCTTCGTGATGTACTCAGAAGAATTAAAAGAGCTTTGAAATTTGGAAGGCTTAGTTTACAGAAAATCAAAGCACAAATAAAGAATTCTTTGTTCTACAGCATCTCCAGAACATACCCTGTATTGTACTTCAAACACTGAGCCACATTCTAACGTACCAGTAATATGCTTCAATGGAAGAATCCTCTGGTTTGAAATGTACTTTACAAATATTTTATGGAATTTTCAGTAGGTATTTTTAGCACTATGCGTTTCTAAGGGTTGGGGGTAAAGAGGAGGCCTTGCCAGTATTAAAGTAATGTCCTTTAGTAACTTACCTTTTTGAACCCACAAAACATGTTCAAAATGACTAAGGAATAATGCAAGTCAGCATGTATTCAATTAAATATGTGATTACAATCAGTGTTCCCAGCCAGTTTGTAAGTTTTTAAAAGACTGGGTAAACAGAGGGCTACGGAGATAAAAGTAAAAGCACACAGTCCCAGTTTTTCTATTTTCACATAGTGGGTGTTTGAAGGATACCACAATGTCTTTCTTTCTCTTTACGTAAGGAACTCTAGTTGAGGGTGACGTTTCTTTTCAATAATGAAATTAAGGCATAGCAATATTACTTATTCAAGGACACAACAAATCATCAGCAAAAGACAGCTGTATTTCAGAGATGTGAACCATACTCTGATAATAAAGCTTAAATTCTAGACTTTAAAATTATAATAAAGAAACAAAAAATGGGAGGTGGCATGCTACACTGAAATTGATACAATGCTTTTAAAGACCACTGAGACGAAGCTTAAAATTCTCCAGCTAATATTCCAATTTTCTCTTTCAGTGAAACTTACCTTCTACGTTATCCTTTGTTGTTCTTTAAATCTCAGTTAACATAGAAAAACTTTAACCAATTGTCTTCAATCATACATACGAAGGTATTTCTTTGTTTTCTTACATTCTCACTACCAGGTAACATTCTGTAAATTATACTGGTCAATTTCAGTAGTACATATTAATACTTCACATGAGGGCCACCAATGTTCCTTCTAGGCTCTTCTGTGTACAACCAATTTAGAGAGCCTGCCCCCCCTCTTTCTATAAGGCATGTTAAAATCTCAAAATGTGTTTAGGCTGCTTCTACTAATAAGAGTTGTAATTCACAGTGTACCGATGGAGGACAACATCCAACAGAGTAATGTAGGCTTTATACTAGGCAACACTTGAACTGAAGTAATTAACCATCATAAAGAGCCCAACTGCTCAAACTTGAGACTTGAGCAAACCCCTCAATAATAAATAATACTGAGGAAAAACTCACATAAAACTGATTTAGAATCAAAGATTTGTAACCAATTTATAAAATATAATATTTTAAACAATCATCTTAAAAAAAAGATTTTATTTGAGAGAGAGAGAGAGAGAAAGCATGCACGGGACGGTGGGGAATGGGCAGAGGGAGAAGCAGCAGCAGACTCCTCACTGAGCAGGGCACCCAACTTGGGGGCTCCATCCCAAGACCCCAGGATCGTGACCTGAGCCAAAGGCAGATGCTTCACTGACTGAGCCACCCAGGCGCCTAAACAATCATCTCTTAAGAATGGGGTAAAGGGAATCTTTTTTTTTTTTAATGACATAACTCAACATTTTGTTTTATGTTAGATGACTTTTAAGACACCCGAGGACAAACTAAATAGATTTATAACAAAAAAGTGTATTCCATTCAGTTCAACAAAACCTGCAATATTCTTTGTACAAAATTGTAACAGATGTTGAGTAGAATAAAAGGAAAAAAAATGATGCACACTGGACACCAAAACAAGTATGATTCTGTTCTAAGGAGTCAGTGATGGAATGATACAGGAAGAGTAAGAAAGTGAAGGAGATTAAATTCTCATCTTACAAATTCAAGTGAAGAACAAAAATTTTTAAAAACAAAACAAAAAAATAAATAAGAACAAAAGTAAAAACATACTCTTGATAAATGTAGAGGTAAAATGCGAGGGAAAAACAGCTAGAAAAGTTGCCTCAGGGAGCAGCTCAAAGAAGAGAGATCAAAGTTAACTTGATGCCAGGAGAGACAGAAAGGTTGGGAAAAAAAGAACATGCACAAAGAGAAAAGGAGTTTAGCCAATGGTAGGAATTGTGAAGGGCAACTGTGGCTGGACAAAAAGGCTTCTACTGGGGAGCAGGGATGCCAGATAAAGTATGGGTAACATCCAAAACATAGCTGACACCACATCGTGTTCTTATGTGAGAGAGTACCTCACCCTGAGTAATCTGACAAAAGTCTGTAGAGGAACTAACTGAAATTTAAATAAAAATTTTAAATATGTATTTAAAGAAAAGAAAAGGAAAGACAAGAAGTCTATACAGGTCAGAGTGATTAGAACCAGCAGAAACTTGGAAGTCAAAGACCCTGACAGGCAGAAGACTAACAACAGACCCAACATGAGGACAAGAAGGAGTCTCCATAATATACAAGTTAGTACTGCATCTTAGCACCCAGAGCTTTCCAAACTCTTTAGCCATAAATATTAAGTTATAATGCTTCAATCTTACACAACTATTACTAAAACTCTAAATGAAGTATATATTATCACACTCGACTGATGGGTTCTCAGATACACATTTAGTACTTTCTAAGAACCACACTTAATAAAAGTTTGATTTTTATAATATTCTTGAACACTCCAAATATACCAAAGAGGTAAGCCAAATGACTATAAAGTACATTAGGTACTCTCCATTTTTTTTCCTTTAATTCCTTTATATAAAAGGTCAGCAACAGAATACAATGCAAGTAAGAATCATATTTCAAAACTCATACCAGAATGGAGATGATTTCAAACAGACCTTAAAACATGAAGTAAAACAAATTTGTTTAAAAAGAGAGAAATAGCTCATATTAATATTTTAGGGGTAGAATCAATATATAATATGCCATTTCTTATATAACTTGTGGCCATTATATAAAAAGGTTTATAGTAGAAATACTTAATTCATTTAATGCAAATCACATATATAAAAAATATTTGAATAGCAATCTTCCTCATACAAGAAACTACGAGAAACATAAAAAATTGTATTTATCCTTAGCTTTTTTCTAAATAATTACTGCCACCTCTTCCATCACTAGTGGCAACCAACCACCATTAAAACGACAGCCACGGGGCGCCTGGGTGGCTTAGTTGGTTAAGTGTCAGACTCTGGATTTCGGCTCAGGTCATGATCTCAGGGTCGTGCAATCAAGCCCGCGTCAGGCTCCATGCTCAGTCAACAGTCAGCTTGTCCCCCTCTCTCTGCTTGTCCCCCAACTCTCACTCGCTCTAGCTCTCTTTAATAAATAAAACCTAAAAATAAATAAATAAATAAAAACAGCCGCACACTAGGTTCTGTGCCAGCCACTTGGTTATCTTACTCAGTCTTAAACAATCTTAAAAACAATTTCCATTCTGCAAAAAAAAAAAAAAGGCAAACCTAGGCTCAATTGTTTTAAGGAGAGTGAAATTTGCTTATGTAATCTTAACATTTTTAATTATGTTACATTAAAATGATGAAGAGAAGATGTGAGGAAGAAAATTACATAAAATCAACCAAAAGCAACAATTTCAAACAGTATTCTTAACCTTCTTCTAAGAAATGAACATTCTTGCCTAAAGATGAAAGAGAAATGTCCTGAAATCTAACTCTAATCTGTAATGCTTTCCCAATGCTGCCAACATCCCACACAGATGCCACAGTCACAACATTTTACTGAGAGCACTCATCACACCTTTCAAAGAAAGTACCCAGTTGGCCCTTTCTTTATTTGGTAACCTCCTGGACCTTCCTTTCTCTTACTGTCCTGTCCCATTTCTCATCCTACGTTTTTCCCTAAAGGAAATTAACAAGGATTATTTAGGAACATTTCTGTAAAGTTTTAAAAGTGACTTGGGATAAGGCTTTATATAAATGTCAACTTAGAAAAGAAATAATAAAGACCATTCATGCCTTTACATTTTTAAAAAGATGTTCAGTGCTCATAAATTTGGGGGAAGAGACTATAAACATTAATATTTTTAAAAGAGTACATAACACAAAAGCCATTAATTAATAAAATTAATAAATCAAATACTGGAATCACCCAGAAAATAGGTGTCATTTCACTAATTAAAATTTTTAAATCAAACTCTCCTACAAGGTAATTGAGAGTCAGATGCTAAGCCATCCAATTTTTAATAGAAAAACAATGCAAATCTAAGTGAAGCACAAATAAGAGCAGGGTAACAAAGCATTGTGAAGTTTTTTGTCCTAAAATATTCATTAGGCTCCATTTCAGGTAGTAACAAAGTAGCTCCTTCCAAACCAACACATTTCTCTCTGCAAAAAATAATAACCAAACTTGTGAAGAAAATATTAAAATCTGCTAAAAATAAAGTTACTAAATGCAGGCAAGAAGTCAGAGAGGGGACAAGAGTCTACACTTGAAAAGAAGGAATGGCACTGTGTGACCTTTCCTTTAAAAAAAAAAAAAGTTTTCAACAAGAGTGCAGGCTGAACCACACGGAGTGACTGAAACTCATACAAATTCCACCTCCAATCTTCTGGCTTTGAAGAACCAGAGGACTGAGTTCAAAGAGACCAAGCAGCTAAGAAATGAGAAAGAAAAGCCTAGAAGAAGACAGTCAAGATAAAATTCTGACCAAATCTCTGGTAGACCCCCTGAATTGTGTGCAGCTAAGACTAAAACAGTGGTTTTTCAACCAGGGGCAATCTGGCCTCCCAATGGACATCTGTCAATATCTGGAGACATTCTGGGTTGTCACTACTGAAGGAGGAAAGCACTACTGGCATTGTGCAGGGAGAGGCTGGGGATGTTGTTAGGCATCCTACCGTGCAGAGGACAGTGTCCACAATTATCTGGCCCATAATGTCAACAATGCTGAGGTTGAGAAACCTTACATTAAAAGAAGAAAAAAGACTGCAACTGCTACCCACCACAGGTGAGATGGGAGGTCCTACAGTTTAGAAAAAGTGTAAAATATATGTGCCTGGAAGGTCATTTCCACTCGTAATTTCTCATAACGTATCTATAGCATGTGGAAATTTCTATGGCAAGTTAAAAACAGACATGTCTCAGAGAGATGAATGCTCCTGCTTTTATTATAATACTATTTTTTAAAAATTTACACATCTGTATGTTTGTGTTTTTATTTATAAAGATTTTATTTATTTATTTGAGAGAAAGAGAGAATGAGAGATAGAAAGCACGAGAGGAAAGAGGGTCAGAGGGAGAAGCAGACTCCCTGCCGAGCAGGGAGCCTGATGTGACACTCAATCAGAGGACTCCAGGATCATGACCTGAGCCGAAGGCAGTCACTTAACCAACTGAGCCACCCAGGCGCCCTTATTTATAAAATGACTTTGTAGGCTGCCCATGAAGGAGATGGGGGGACATTTCTTAATTTTAAGTTGGAAAGTTCAGCCAAGTGTACTAAGTGTAAATTAATAAGTGGAGTCTGAGTTCAGATAAAGTTTATTGTTTTAAAACAAATCAGAACAAAAAACTAAACTAAATCAACATTCTTCAGAGAAATAAAACAGAATCCAGAGTCCTTACATTATTTACAATACCCAAAATATCATTCAAAATTATTCAACAGATGAAGATACAGCAAAATCTAACCCATACTGAAGACAAAAGATAACCAATGGATATAATCCAGATATTGTATTTAGTACCCAAGATTTTTTTTTAAAGATTATATTTATTTGAAAGAGAGAGAGAGGGAAAGGGAGAGAGAACACAGAGGGAGAGAGAGGAGTAGACTCTCCACTGAGCAGAGAGCCCAATTCGCAGCTCGATCCCAGGACCCTGGGATCATGACCTGAGCCGAAGGCAGACGCTTAACGACTGAGCCACCCAGGCGCCCCTAGAAAACAATGGTTATTATACCTTTTAGAAAAATCTAGGGACCAGAGATACATGGTAGACTACAACAAGAAATTATAATTATCAGGATTCTCATATTCTTGAGCCATTCTGGAGAACTAATTTACACTTAATGTGGCTGAACTTTTCAACTTAAAATTAAGAAATGTCCCCCCATCTCCTTCATGGGCAGCCTACAAAGTCATTTTATAAATAAAAACACAAACATACAGATGTGTAAATTTTTAAAAAATAGTATTATAATAAAAGCAGGAGGGGCGCCTGGGTGGCTCAGTTGTTAAGGGTCTGCCTTCGGCTCAGGTCATGATCCCAGGGTCCTGGGATCGAGCCCCGCATCGGGCTCCCTGCTCAGCGGGAAGCCTGCTTCTCCCTCTCCCGCTCCCCCTGCTTGGGTTCCCTCTCTCACTGTGTCTCTCTCTGTCAAATAAATAAATAAATAGAATCTTTAAATAAATAAAAAAATGAATGAATGAATGAATGAATGAATAAATACATAAATAAATAAATAAATAAAAGTGGGAGCATTCATCTCCCTTAGACATGTCTGTTTTTAACTTGCCATAGAAATTTCCCACATGCTATAGATATGAGAAATTACAAGTGGAAATGACCTTCCAGGCACATATATTTTACACTTTTTCTAAACTCTAAGACACTTCAGCAAGGTAACTTAAATTAAGCTATTTTATGAAGCAGGAGATACATAAGCATTCAATTTAGGATGTAGCTTATGCTGCTCCCCCTGCTTGTGCTTCCTCTCTCTCTCTTTTTCTCTCTCTCCCTGACAAATAAATAAATCTTTAAAAAAAATTAAAAAAATAAAATACAGCTTATTTCCAGAATAATCACTTTCATTAATCTACAAGAATTAGCTATTTGACATACCACAATATACTTCTATAGTGCTTAGATTCACGAAAGTTTATATAAAGAGAGAAACTTACTATTAATAACATCCTAAACGAGGCCAGAGGTAGGAACAAATTGAACATACTTCCTTCATGCTGCCAAAAGGTTAATCATTTGAACCTCCATTCATTCATGTCCTGACCCTTCAGGTGACTTTTTATTCTAACAAAGGAAGTGGCATTTAGCTAGGACATCTTAAACAAAGGTAAAATATGTGGTCAGGTATGTTATAAAACTGAAACAACAGCTCAAATTAACTCCCCCTTGGTACCTAAAATTTCCTCTCCCCTCTTCCTAATCTGCTCATGAACAGCATTGCTGAAGTTACCACCCACCCACCACCCCGTCCAAATATGTCCTTTAAAACGTTCAGACACAGTGAAAGAGCAATATCAAACCCCTTGGATTGGTAAATAGAGGAGTCACTTTCGCTTAAACCAAACACATCCAAAATAATATGCTCCTGGTGGTAGAGAAAGGAAGAAGGAAAAACACATACACATACATATACATACACACACACACACACACACACACACACACATACATGCACATACACACACACGCACAGGGAAAGAAAGAAGGAAAGACAATAGGCAGGCAGGCAAACCGACTAATTTGGGGCATGCTTAGATTCTATAGTTTTCCTAAAATCAGAGAATCTGAAAACTGAAAGGCCTTTTGGAAAAAACATTGCTAAAACTAAGTCCCACACGGTCAAATAGTTAATGGAAGATCATCCATATTTCTGGATGAATGGTCTGAACAAGGAGAGCTTTGTTTCCAGCTTAGTTTCAATCCACTAGCAGGAATGAAAAAGGGAATTACAACAACAATATTCATCCAACCTCTCTAGTACATTAAAGAACAAAGTATATATTTTACTGCAAGGTGTTGAAAAGCCTTCTTGAAAGTAGGCAATATATACTGAAATGTATTTTATTTTAAACTATGAAAATCAATTATTAATGTTGAGGATATAAGTTTTGACTGTATTCTCCTCTAGAGCGCT